AAATAGTTTTTGATTAGAAGTATGGGACCTGACGTTTGGGTTGGTTGTTGGAGTTTTCTACGGAGTTCAGATCGCGGGGCTACGTGTAGGTCACATGACCGTTTTGATACCACAAAACAGTGAACATGATTCGTTGTTGGGTGATAAATTTCCATAGCCAATAGCACAAGCGGATTCTTCAAGCAGTCGATCTCTACAGTTGTAGGTACAGGGTAGCACTGTTCGAATCTGACTGTATAGCATCGAGTAGATCAGGGAGAGTAATTCTGATCGTCTGACTATCATCACTACCACTTTCTTGTCGCGTTTTGATCTCATATTTGTCTTGATTTAACTTTTCAGTGGTGAACACAGAGGTCCAACACGTGGAGGATGACTTGCGAGCCATTCTACAGTGATCTGTGTTAGTGTAGGTTGTCAAGCGAGTGACAATCACACTGGTGTGCGGATCAGTTTGACGGTAAACATATGGCATGCATGAAGTACAACCAGTCAGGTGGCACGCGTCGAACAAAAAGCAATGTGTCTAGATGCTTTGAAACCATCCAAGGGTGAAAAAATCAAACCATTATTTTCCTCAGAATTGACTGTTAGTTTCGTCATTTTCCGTTGATGATTTCCAGATGGCATCAAATCATTTTTGTATCTTCAAATCTTCTTATACTTGGGCCGGTTCACTTGGAGTTCTATAGAAACTTGATAATAAGGTTCAGTTTCAATGATGAGATGCACCTTGGGTTCGACAAGAAACTTGACTTGAAGAGCAGGACGAAAAACAGAATCGATAGGCACTGTTATTAAACCATTGAAACTTTAATGACGAATTCGCAGTGCTGCTGATGAAACCCGGCCAGGTTGAAACAGGTGTCCAGTTCCTTCTAGCTTTTCAGTTCACTCTTCATTTGCTCTATATCCACGACGAATTCCCTCATGAAGTCGAATCAAATCTTCCATTACTCGCATGTTTCCAACACGGACTGATGCACACTACCGAGGAGCACGTGATTCAAACAGCACAAATCTCCTCTAACTGGTTCGAAAATTGATTATTCTGTTTGATTCAAAGCAGTATCAATCCGTTCGATATTGAATAAACAAATCGTTTAACGATTTTTTACAACAGATATGCCCCAGATTGTTAATGAATAAACTCCATGTCATACACATGAAAGACTTATCACTCCGCTGGTAAATGCATCGAACGAGTCAGTCGTTAGGGTTCAGTGTGTGTGTGTGTGACTAGTGTTTGGGATCGGGGGATCATGGGTCTCAAATTGATTCGTTTTGGCACAATCAGACAGCAAACTGAAACAGCACTGCTTTTCGTCACAAAAACATGCCACAGTGAAGAACCATTTGACAGACAAACTCATATCTCGTGAACAGGAGGACAGTAAATCGTAACGATCAGGTTTACACAACGGTTAATCTTGAGCATGTCTGTTGTAAATCCGTGATAAGCTTGTGTGTGTGTGTGTGTTGCGTCTTACCACTCTAACAGAGGGCAATCCCATTAGCTCCCATCTACAGCACTCCACGTACAGCCACCTCTGTTCACCAGTTTATGAGACTATATTCATGACAGAGTACAGACCCGTACAAAGACGCTATTTGGTGGTACACGGTACGGTCTACAATCATCACTATTTCAGACATGTCGGGAGTGTGGCTGGGGGGGTCTAGAAGTGTAACGCTACTCAATCTTTCTTGGTTGTTTGTGTTCAGCGCCATGGATTCGGAAAAAGATGTTGTAGAGAAAATGTAACCGGTCTACCACGCAAACAAGTTATATTATGTAGATTTGTTGAACAGGTCGAATAGCGAGGATCTGGATTTTATTACGTATCAACCGTACATTGTTCTTTTAACTGTCCATTAGCGATTATAATCAGACCATAAGGAAACAATCGTGCGGAAGCGTTCCACTAACTAGATTACAATTTTTCCTCATAGTCTCCGTTGAATAGACTATTCGTTCTGCGATTACACGCATGTAAGCCTTTCCTCACAAATATGAATACAAGTAATTCAGAGTAGCAAAAGGCTAAAATGAATTCATTCACCCATCATATGTATATAAAACACCTGACATGGCTCAAAAGACTAGATGATAAATTTGGATCGGCATTTGCGGAGTTTTCGACCGATCTGACTGCGGGTTAGGACTCGCACGGAGAGACTAGTCGAGATGGAAGGAGCTGCATAGCGCTCCCCACATGTATTAGCAGTTCACATTTTCGTGGCTCTGTATACGACGAAATTCATTCGGACTTTTTTCGTGTAGTTTATCAGACTATTTCATTAGTTGTTTTCATTTATTGCATTGCCCAGATACGGGCGAAAGTGAGATAAAGCGATGGGGATGTTTGAGAACACGAACGAAGGGGGAGAGGAGTCGGTGGGGGAAATACAGACCAAAACGAATGTGCGTTCTGCACGACTGGGAGAAAAACATACTGCATCCTCGGATTCGCACCAAATGGGGCGAATCGGACTACATAAATGCAACGAAATGAGAAACAGAACAATGTGAACATGGAATAGCTATTCACAAGTGGTGGTAAGCAAACAGCACTCCAAAAATCTCACCCCAAACACGAGAAAAAAAAACATAAAGAAAGGGAGGGAAAAAATGCCGCTAAGATGCAATGGTGAATGCACGGAGAATATTACCCTGCTGGGAACAAACGAGGTTATTGGAATCGGGAGAACACCTGTGACATTCGTGTGTCACAAGACCACGCCGGATGACCAGCGTTCACACGAACATACACATACACACACACACAGACTACAGTACACACGTCAGGCGATAGTGCGCAGAAACTGACGAGGTTTTTCGACTAAGTTTGATCCCTATGATGGCTACAGGACCAGAGATAAATCATATGAACGAGGTAAGGTTAGCTAGCACAAAGAGAAGGCAAGACAGAGAGAGAGATCATCAGGAAAGCCAACTGTGATTGACGAAAGCAAGTTGGTCTGGTTTCAGAATTCAGTTGTAACAACGGAGACTGGAATCGATCAACTTCTTTGAAGTTCCATTAGTAGTGTGAGGGGCAAGGTGGGATAGCAAAAGGAACACGAGGAGCATAATGCAACACGTATTCCACCAATTCAATCGTACCTGTTTGAAGGTAACCCAGATTTACCCCTCCCACTCGTATCTGTGCCTGATTTACAAACTGGCTAAAAACAACCTGAGATCCGGTTATTGCGGTCTAAAGATGACCGTGGAAAAGAACGATTAATGATAATTTCCGCCAGAATCACATGATTAATCCGCGAAAGATGTACGAAATTACATTTATACGGGTTCTTGGCCAAAAAAGGCAGCACTCAAAACGATGCCAAGCTATGAGTAACATTCAGGTAGGATGCTGGCGCTTGTTGTCAGTGTGATATCGCATTTAATGAATGTCTAATCCAGATTGAATATGAATTCCGGTGAGGTGTATATCTAGAATTTGGCGGTACTGAGTGGATTATTGCCCCAATCAATGTGATCTTTCTATATTGGTACGAAAAAACAATCCCTTGGCTATACTGTTGGTTATATTTTGTAAACGTTTTTAGCAACAGCCAGGGCCTCCAGGTCTGGATGAGATACACTCGAATGCACGCTGTTAGATTACGTGGGAACAGACACGACTGCGCAAACCCACATTCTTCACAGTTACAACCAAAGCTCTAGCACAGTTGATTTTTTTGAACGACTATACCCGGATGATTTCTACTGGAGGCACCTGGCATTTGTTGATTTCCGAATAAATACGTGAATCGGGTCCAGTGGAACAGGAATTGAACTTTAAATATGAATACATTTAACTCAATGCCGCTCTCAAGGGGCCGTCGATAAGCAGCCGCGGATTGTGTTACCACATTCAGATCTGTAGATCTGTTAGACGATCAGATAGGTTCTACCTGGAAATCAGTAGACCACGTTCTACGCGATAGGAATCCCACGGAGTTAATTACACCAAGTTCTACAATCTTGCGTGGTCTATGAAAGAACGAAACAAATCTATCAGAATAGATCGTTGCATGCCAAGGGGGATGTATTATTGATGGATTCTACAATCAAGTCCTACCTCATTAGTATTAAATCCAGGTTCGATGACGACTGCACGGTTCCGAACCAGGAAGCCTTCTTCACGTGGTGTTACAGTCCTAGCGGGGAGATGAACTGTTTGTACAGATATTCGATTGCTGAACGGCTGGTCATTGATTTATTGAGGCTGGGATGAGTGTCTTTAGCTGACTATGGAGAAGACACAAAACGATGGACTACATCGAGCAAACAGTCACTGTTCCCGTCGGCTTTTGCAGGCGTACGTACGGAGGCGTCGGGACGATTATTCACAGCTCGAGAATGCTGAAAACTCGGGACATTGACAAACAAAATTTCTCATCTGAGCATGAACCAGTTGTTATATCACCAGCCAGAATGATTACATTGCCAGGATTGATAGGCAAGCGGCTCAACTAGAAAGACTATGGGGAAAGTATATTCAATCGCACCTAGTATCACTTCCGAAGAAAGCATACCAAATGGGCACTCTTAGGAAGTATGACAATATGTGGATGGGGAGGAGGATGAATAGTAAGTTGATATCCCACACGTGCTGGTAACCCATTTCGTATAAGAATGATCTGTATATTTGTATATTCCATACTTCTATATTATGAATGATTGGTTTACGTTAATGTGCCAGGTACCCCAAGGAAGGATACACAATCCATCATCTCAGCATTGCAACTCTAAAGTGGAGGTAAGAATCGCATAATATATGCTTAAGTTAGACTATACCACTCAGCAATCATCGCTATCGACAGGAGTCTGTAATGATTTTGGCCGTAGGCCGGTTGTCCTCTCTCATACATATATCTTCGGGAAATCCACCGATAAACTCTACAGTTTCAGAAATTAAATGATTGGAACAACAGTGATAATCTCCGATCGTGTGGCTCCAGGATAAGAGTTTCCGTTCTCAACTCAAAGGTTTGCTATTCGAGCCCCAGTTGAAGGCACAAACAAAGTACGCACTACTGGTTACGAAACAGACATCCAATGCTCTTTGTCAGTCATCCCACACAGAATCCGATTATATCCTAATCTAGCCACCGCGCGCGAAGTTTTCCCACTTCAATGAGTGAAGTTCAACCCATTTTTTATTACACACTTTGTTAGAGTGATGAACAAAAAGTAGACGGGGTAAACCCAACAGCCACGATGACCCGCTATTCGGTGGTGGAAACCGGTGACCGAAGGCCCGGAACTTAGAGTGGCGAACCACATAAGACCCCTAGAGTTTAGGCGGGGAATTCAGCCGGACGACAGCAAAGCTTTCCATTTCATCTGTTCGCCGAGTTAGGCAATTTGTTTGC